TTTCTTGACTATTCTATAGTCTTAGGGGTGGAGCTGGCAGCCAGTGCACTCTAGCTCCAGTCCCGTGGAGCTCCCTGCCACTCTGTGCTGCTGCCTTTGTATTGGAGGCAGCAGCATGGGGTGCCAGGTGGGAGCTGGTACTCGAGGGGAGACAGTTTAAAAACCAGCACCCCTCGCAGATCGGCTGCCTGTCGTCATCTGCTGTTGCCTCTGATACAGGGGCAGCAGCAGTCCCTGTCTGGGTGGGGTCTGAGCTCCCTGGACCCAGCGTGAGCCAGAATGGAGCTGGCCTGCCTGCCTTCTTGCCTGGCTCCTAATACACTTTAAATGCATAGCCACAGCAAGGGTAGGTTCCGGACCCGGCACAAGCTGTGACTGAGCCAGGCTGCTGGCCAGCCTGCTAAGAAATTTACGGGGGGAGGAAAATGCACGTAGCCTGTAGCATTAACCTATAAGCTTTTGCTTATCAGTTAATTGGTTAATTGGCTACACTATTACACCCCTTGCTTTCTGCCTTCAGTAGTCATATCAGTGCAGCTGTGTAACCAAATTAGAATTCCCACTCACTTACAGTATTAGCACTTTATATTACCTCTGTATAGATTTGTTATTACCTAAGGGTGTGTCTAGACTACAGGGTTTTGTCAACAAAAGTTGACTTTTGTTGACAAAACTATACCTGTGTCTACACTGTCACTGAGTTCTGTCGACAGAACTCGGCAGTTTTGTTGACAGCGGCAAACCTCGTTCTACGAGGAATAACGCCTTTTGTTGACAGAGTTCTGTCGACAGAAGGCGTTATTGCATCTGCACTGTCCTTTGCGTCTACACTGTCATGTCAGCAAAGCGGCTTACTTTGTTGACAGAACTGGATGTAGTCTAGATGCTCTTTGTCAACAGAAGCTTTGTTGACAGTATCTGTCGACAAAAGCCTGTAGTCTAGACGTACCCTCAGATGTAATGTAGTAGTGAATTGGGACCTTAGTGTCAACAGGGAACATAAGAGCTGTGTAGGAAAGAACACATTTTTATGTCCTAAACTGGACAATGATCTGGAAAAGAAGGAATTGTGAATCTGCAAGTTACTTTAAAAAGATCAAGTAATCTTCCATTTTCTTGGTTTAATGTATTTAGCTGTGATATGACATTGCCAAAAGAGACAAGGTAAAAACTATTCATCTTAAAAATTTGTAATTCTGTTTTGGATTTGAGCTAGAACAATACAAAGTTAACAGATTTTTCTTTTCTCATAAACTAAGTTATAAGTACTGCTAAACAGATCAAATTCTGACTCCCATTGCTTTTAATAGCTTACAGCACTCCTGGATTTGTTATTTTAACCATAAAATGTTTAATTGCCAAAATGCAAGTCACAGTCATCCACCAATTACAATCAATATTAAGAATTTTGGTTATACCTACTAAATTAAATGACATCATGTTATGATGGCATTCTTTTTTGTGCATGTGCATCATGGGTGATAACAAAATTCACATTTTGGGGATTACAAACATTTATACTTTTACCTGCTTTACATATAAGCTGCTTGCATAAAAAGTGAACATATAAGATTCAAAAACCTTTATATGTAGTAGCTGAAACTGACTCTAAAATGTGTGCTTTATTATGAAAAAGCCTAATCGGCAAAATATGATTTCATGTAGCTTCTGTTATAAAATCATATTTAAAAACTCCCAAGTCAATAACTCTCAAATCCAAAGAAAAGTGCTTTGCCCAAAATTGTTCTCAGAGTAAATACAGCAAAGGTAAATGTTTCAGAGAAAACCGGCAAAACTGTTTTTGAATTACAAGTTTGTTTTTTTAAGTACTCTGATTAAAAACTATTAACTTCTGTTTCCATGTTCCTCCAAAATAGTTTGCCACTATTTCTTCTGACTTTGCTCATGGTTAAAAATATACCTGAAAAATAGTGTATCAGATATACTTTGAAAAAAATAAATTGTAGTTGAAGAAACATTCTATAACACCAGAGGGAAAAGTAAGCAGGTGCTCCATGGTGGGCAGCTTCCGCAAGAGCTGGCTGAGCTCTGCTAAAAGTGAGCAGGGATCTATTTAAAGAGCTGGCAGGGATTTGGGTTGCAACAGGACAGTACCCCTAAGAAATTTTAATTTACTTTCACTCCTGCTTAACACTTTGTTGTAGCTAGCTTTGGGGCCTCTTCCTACCCCTTTTGAAATCAATGAGCAGTTTGCTGCTTGCTTTAATGAGAACGGTGCTGATAATGGTGGATCTGATTCTCTACTTATTCTTTACAGAATTATTCTTATTCTTGCACTTTATGTAATGATTAGGAATAAGACCCTCCGGAAAAGGGCACTTTTTCCGGAGGATCGGGGCCAGTGTAGACGCTCTTTTCCAGCTTTTTTAAAAGCCGGAAAAAAGGGGCGGACATTTTTATTTAAATGCCGCGGGGGATATTTAAATCCCCCGCGGATTTCCCTATGACGACTGGTGAAATTTACATGCCCCTTCCGGAAAAGGGGCCAGTGCAGACATAGCCAAACTGAACATTGTTAATGTATATAGTTTTGACTAGAGATGTAATAGTGTAGTCAATTAACTGATAAGCAAAAGCTTATAGGTTAATGCTATAGACTACACGCACTTCCCTTCCCTCTCTCACTGCTAGTAAATTTTTAAGCAGGCTGGCTTGCAATTGGTCTGAGACCTACCCCTGCTACAGCTCTGCATTTAAAGTGTATTAGGAGCTGGGCAGGCAGGCAACCCAATTCAGTCTTGGCTCATGCTGGGTCCAGGACCTATCCCCATTTCAGCTCTGCACTTCAAGTGTATTAACAGCCAGCCAGGAGGGCAGGCAGCCCAGCTCAGTTCTGGCTTGTGCTGGGTCGGGGGACTCAGACCCCTTCTTCCCTCCTGCTCTGTGTCGTTCCCCCCTCCCTCCCGGACAGGGACTGCTGCCATCCTATGCTGCTGCCTTGTTCTCAAAAGCAGCAGCACAGGGTGACAGGCAGCTGGTCTGCAAGAGGAGCTGGTTTTAAAACTAGCTCTCCTCCTGGACCAGCTGCCAACTGGCACCCCATGCTGCTGCCTCTGATACAGTGGCTGCTGGCCCTGCCCCGGGGACTAAAGACTAGTCTACTAACCGATAAAATTTAATGAGGTTACTTGACTATTCAATTAACCAATATTTAACATCCCTAGCTTTGACTATACCAGCGGACTATAGAGTATCCCGTAGAACCTGCCTAACATGAGTTCTGTTACATCTGCATTCTTCTCACACTGAGAGAATTTCCATTGAGGACAGTTTAGCCATTCTACCCTGCTGAGTTAGGGCACAGAAGTTGAGTCAACTCAGTATCTGGCTGTGGAGTTAAGGGAGTGTCTATGGGACATGTAGCAAACCAGTGGCAGATCCAGACTTACAACTTCCTCTTAGGTGGGTTGTGTTTTTCTCACCCGCTAATTCAGTGTTTCTCAACCTCTTAATAGTCTTTCCTCCCCAAAATTACTTCCCCTCCTTCTTTTGGTTACTCTAAAGCCACCCATTATTTTCTCATATGGACACCTTTATACAATTTTATCCAATAAAAAGTGAAATGAAATTGTATTAGCCTTCCCTGAATAAAGGGAGTGCACTGGGAAAACTAGAAGAGAGAATGTGACTTGGTTGTTTTGTTTTAATAATTATTGTGGAAATTTCCCTGAGTGTATGAAATGTGGGGAGGATGGTAGAGATGTGGTAGTGGAAGTCTGCCTATTGTATTGCAAGTCTCCTGAGCTATTCCTTCCATAACATTCTCTAATTTTAAGTTTACTTTTTTAAGGCTGAGATTTCTACTCATTTTTTTTAATTTGTGTTAATTGTTTTCTGGAATAACTGACAACATAGGCTCTGAATGTAAAGCTTATTGGTCCTTTACAAAAATAAAGTGCACTCTTGTAGATTAGCTTGTATTTTCACTGTAACAATATTAGTTTTGGTAAACACTACAGTAAATTGCTGTGTGCTCCCATATTATGATTGTTTGAATAAGCGGTCTATTTATAGATTGCAAAGATGAGTGGAGTTCAAGCAGCATGGAATTTAAATACATCCTGGCTTAAAACCAACCAGGACTAAAGTCTTCCTCCATATGTTGAATAGTAATAGAGGGTTAGCCGTGTTAGTCTGATCTTGGTAAAACAAAAGGAAAAAATATGTAGCACTTTAAAGACTAATAAGATAGCTTATTAGATGATGAGCTTTCGTGGGTCAGACCCACTTCTTCAGATCGTATTCTGAAAGAGAATTGGCATGACCATATATAACAAAGGAATACAATGAAGAAAGTGAACACATTATAAACTAACAAATCAGATTTTAGAATAGAAGGTTACTTTCCCGAAGGAGAGTGGTTTCCCTCCATTGTCCCATCCCTCAGTGAAATAGTCTAGATCCTATTAGCAGAAGCTTGTGGCCAAATGTCCCCTGACTAGAGCTGATACTGGAATCACACTCCGTAATGCACCTCAAAACTATGGAGGGAGAAGATTCTCTGTAGTAACTCTAGTCTAGACTCTTTTCCATTTGCATTGTGAAGTGAGACATCCAGAATAGGCCTTCTGGCTCGTCTTCTAAAGAAGACTCTCCAACCCATCTATATGAAGGAGAAAATGATGGGATGCTTTCATGTCTCCAAATTTAGAACTAGAGTTACAGGTTGGAAACAAGGAAGAGCACAAGAGTTTAGTACTTTCAGACTTGGAGGAATATAAAACTAGTCTACTTGGCCACATATGAAATAGAAGTTTGAGTGTACAAACTTGAGTTCAGTGCATAGACACAAAGTTTTAATTCCATGCCTCGCCATTTATAACATGTAGGCTTTGCTGGTTTTCCTGCAGTGATAGGAAAAAAATGTGGGGTTTTTTTTCTTCTTCCTTTCTAACTTTCTGTAGGGTAACAGGGTAATAAGAAGTTGGTGGTCACTATGGAAATTATATACAGTCTTTGTGGTGTTGTTTTTTTTACAGGAACTGTATGCAAAATGTCTTCTGGAAGGAGCTGGGTGATTAATGCTTTATATATTCTTCTGAGCATTTTCTCTTTTGGAGGTAAGACTAAATGAAAATGTTGGCTGGGACATAACCAACAGCTAGAGCAGCTAGCTGTTGCTGATTATGTTGCAGTAGTGGCTTGTGGTCACATTGTGGAATTAGGGCACCATTGTGCTAGCTATTTGTAGAAACAAATAATCCAAAGACAGAGTTCTCACTCAGTTATGGCATTGATGTGATTTTTAGCCAGCAGATCTAAAAAAACATTAATATTAGTCCCAGGCACTGCACCTGAAGCTTTCTGGTCACATTTTCCTATGGTTTCTTCCTTGGTGCTGTGGGAAGAAGAGCAAAGCAAAAGGAAGAAATTGACTATACAGGGGCAGCACTGGAACAGACTACACACAGGTTGTCAAATGTGCCAAGTTAATACATTGGAAAAATAGATGTTTCTTAAAACTGCTAGTTAGAGCAGTCTTTTTCAACATTTTAACTTTCTAGGTAAAATATTCAAACATACAGAATTCCTCATCTTAATTTACATATCTAGGAATGAAATAAAGAAGAGTCTGAGAACAGGTTTTTGGAGGCATTTCGTTCTCTGAAATATACCTCTTAAAGGGTTCAGTCTGAAAGTATTTTAATGCAAAAAGATGTGGTATTCTTACCCTTTTTTATTATCTTTGTCTTTTTGGGTATGTCTACACTACAGCACTAATTCGAACTAAGCTAATTCGAACTAGTGGGGGGCTAGCCCCCCACTAGTTCGAATTAAGGGGCTACACAGCCCTTAATTTGAACTAGGCATTAGTCCTCAGAGAATGAGGTTTACCTAGTTCTAATTAAGCACTCCGCTAGTTCGAATTAAGGGGCTACACAGCCCTTAATTTGAACTAGGCATTAGTCCTCAGAGAATGAGGTTTACCTAGTTCTAATTAAGCACTCCGCTAGTTCGAATTAAGGGGCTACACAGCCCTTAATTTGAACTAGGCATTAGTCCTCAGAGAATGAGGTTTACCTAGTTCTAATTAAGCACTCCGCTAGTTCGAATTAAGGGGCTACACAGCCCTTAATTTGAACTAGGCATTAGTCCTCAGAGAATGAGGTTTACCTAGTTCTAATTAAGCACTCCGCTAGTTCGAATTAAGGGGCTACACAGCCCTTAATTTGAACTAGGCATTAGTCCTCAGAGAATGAGGTTTACCTAGTTCTAATTAAGCACTCCGCTAGTTCGAATTAAGGGGCTACACAGCCCTTAATTTGAACTAGGCATTAGTCCTCAGAGAATGAGGTTTACCTAGTTCTAATTAAGCACTCCGCTAGTTCGAATTAAGGGGCTACACAGCCCTTAATTTGAACTAGGCATTAGTCCTCAGAGAATGAGGTTTACCTAGTTCTAATTAAGCACTCCGCTAGTTCGAATTAAGGGGCTACACAGCCCTTAATTTGAACTAGGCATTAGTCCTCAGAGAATGAGGTTTACCTAGTTCTAATTAAGCACTCCGCTAGTTCGAATTAAGGGGCTACACAGCCCTTAATTTGAACTAGGCATTAGTCCTCAGAGAATGAGGTTTACCTAGTTCTAATTAAGCACTCCGCTAGTTCGAATTAAGGGGCTACACAGCCCTTAATTTGAACTAGGCATTAGTCCTCAGAGAATGAGGTTTACCTAGTTCTAATTAAGCACTCCGCTAGTTCGAATTAAGGGGCTACACAGCCCTTAATTTGAACTAGGCATTAGTCCTCAGAGAATGAGGTTTACCTAGTTCTAATTAAGCACTCCGCTAGTTCGAATTAAGGGGCTACACAGCCCTTAATTTGAACTAGGCATTAGTCCTCAGAGAATGAGGTTTACCTAGTTCTAATTAAGCACTCCGCTAGTTCGAATTAAGGGGCTACACAGCCCTTAATTTGAACTAGGCATTAGTCCTCAGAGAATGAGGTTTACCTAGTTCTAATTAAGCACTCCGCTAGTTCGAATTAAGGGGCTACACAGCCCTTAATTTGAACTAGGCATTAGTCCTCAGAGAATGAGGTTTACCTAGTTCTAATTAAGCACTCCGCTAGTTCGAATTAAGGGGCTACACAGCCCTTAATTTGAACTAGGCATTAGTCCTCAGAGAATGAGGTTTACCTAGTTCTAATTAAGCACTCCGCTAGTTCGAATTAAGGGGCTACACAGCCCTTAATTTGAACTAGGCATTAGTCCTCAGAGAATGAGGTTTACCTAGTTCTAATTAAGCACTCCGCTAGTTCGAATTAAGGGGCTACACAGCCCTTAATTTGAACTAGGCATTAGTCCTCAGAGAATGAGGTTTACCTAGTTCTAATTAAGCACTCCGCTAGTTCGAATTAAGGGGCTACACAGCCCTTAATTTGAACTAGGCATTAGTCCTCAGAGAATGAGGTTTACCTAGTTCTAATTAAGCACTCCGCTAGTTCGAATTAAGGGGCTACACAGCCCTTAATTTGAACTAGGCATTAGTCCTCAGAGAATGAGGTTTACCTAGTTCTAATTAAGCACTCCGCTAGTTCGAATTAAGTTCGAACTAGTGGTTTGTATGTGTAACGCCTATTAAAGTTGATTGGAACTAAAGTCTGTTAGTTCGAATTAACTTTGTAGTGTAGACATACCCTTTGTGTGTGTGTGTGTGTGTGTGTGTGCGCGTGCGCTTTTTTTTGACCAAACGTCTTCTAGTGGAAAACAGATGCTGTTGTTGATTGGATTCTTTTATTTTTTGTCTTGTACTATAACTTTATTTCCACACCTGCTTGTTCTTTCGCCTGTTCTTTCTTTCCTTTGCCCTCCTGTTTTCACTCTGTCTCTATTCTCCTGTCTCCTACCTTGCAGTCAGGATCATTTATCTGATGTTTTTCATGGACACAGAGGGCTAAGCAGCAACTTCAAATGTGTAATTCTCTAGACTAATGACCTAGTTTATGCTTAATTTGCATACTGAATAACCAAACAGCTGTGCTTGTTCTGGTAATTCTTTACATTGTTTCTGCATTTCAGTACCCAGCCTGTTAGTATCTTTCTATCTCAGCAGTAGACATTTGAGGTATTTTAGATTCACAATTGTGAGAGTCAAGGAGAGTTTGCTTCAAAAGAAAGGAGTTAACGTGGGTCAATAGAAAAATGCCACACTGAATGATTGCACATGGCAATTCCACTGTGAGTGCATGCACTCCAGGGTATGGTTATCAGTTTTTCCCTTTAGCAGTACTTGTCAGGGTGGCACGAATATTTTCTGGTTCCTTACACACTGTGCACAAGCATTAAGGGCATAGTCACCTGCAGGCTTCCTGAATTCTTTCCTCCATCCCATGACAGTTGTTGGAGCTCCCTTTTCTTAAATATGCAAGTTTTCAGATTTGTAAATAGAACTATATGTTAACATAGTATTCCGGAAAATCAGCCGCTTTTCCGGAATAAGCTGCGAGCTGTCTACACTGGCCCTTAAATTTCCGGAAAAGCAACGAAGCTCTACTGTACAAAATCAGCCGCTATTCCGGAAAAACTATTCTGCTCCCGCTCGGGCATAAGTCCTTATTCCGGAACACTGTTCCGGAAAAGGGCCAGTGTAGACAGCCCAGTAGTCTTTTCCAGAAAAAAGCCCTGATCGCGAAAATGGCGATCGGGGCTCTTTTCCGGAAAAGCGCGTCTACATTGGCCACAGACGCTTTTCCGGAAAAAGGGCTTTTCCGGAAAAGCAACCTGCCAATGTGGATGCTCCTTTTCTGGAAAAACTGAAAACGGAATAGTATTCATTCCAGAAATTCATGCCAGTGTAGACACAGCCAAGTAGTAAATAGTACATTTGCAAATAGTACATATGTAAATAGTACATATTGTGTAGTTTTAATAGTTAGTTGATTAGTGGAATGCCATTGGATAGCTTGTTGGTTTTGGAATACCTGATAGTTCTTAGAAAAGAGGAGACTAAGGGGGGATATGATAGAGGTCTATAAAATCATGACTGATGTGGAAAAAGTGAGTAAGGAAAAAGTATTTCCTTGTTCCCATAATATGAGTGGCCACCAAATGAAATTAATAGGTAACAGGTTATGGTAACATATATGGATTTTATGAGGATTCATTATTTGATTAATATACATTTCAATATTATAGACATTTTTTTAAAAAGAACAATAACTACTACATTTCCTAAAAATATTGGGGGGTTTTTGGTAATTGCTGTTGATATATAGAGAATTTTTATATTGTGTATTTTTTTTTTTATTATTTATAAAGGACTTTCCAGCAATGGGGAGAGGATGAGTGTAGGAGAAAAAGATACTTAAGCTTCCCACCTTTAACCTCATTTTCTGTCTCTATCATTTCAGTTCCAGTTCTCCTATTGCCACTGGTAAAATTCTCTTACAGTACCTGAGGAAAAGTATGCTCATGAACTTCCCCTAAATCAGTGCATGAGTAATTTTCTTGTGCCACTGCATTAGACAAGAAATACACTGTATTGTGCAGGTCAAGTGAAACTCTATACATATATACTGCCAGATGTACAAAATAGACTGCAAGATATTTTTTGTAATCTTTCAGTAGCAGCAGTGTTATAAATTCTTTGTAGCAATAGTAATATAAAGTTTTCATATGGAAATGTGATATTCCAAATAGGGATGTTAGCAAAGAGACTTGTAAATGATTGACTGATAAGCTTGGATTTATTGGTTAATCCTAATGACTATATGCACTCCCTCCCTACCCCCTGCTGGCTCTGTACAAGAACCGGATCCCATGGAGCTGCCCTCCCCCATGCTGATGCCTCTGATAGAGAGGCAGCAGCACAAAGGGTGAGGGGGGCAGGCAAGAGCCGGTAAACGCAGGAAGCTGGCTTTCAAACCAGCTCCCTGTGCGTATTGGCTCATGCAGAGCCACCTGCCCACCCCCTTGCTGTCTCTCAGAGGTGGAGGGGGGAGGCAGGAGCCGGTGCTCAGGGAGCCACCTTAAAAGCCAGCTCCCCACAAGCATTGGCTTCGTGGAGCCGCCTCCCCTCCACACACACACACACACTGCTGCCTCTATATCAGAGGCAGCAGCACAGGGGGTGGGGGAGATAGACAAAATGCTGGTGCAACCTCTGTCTGTGGGGAGCTCACACCCACTGCACATAGGGGCTGCTGCATGGGGTGGTAGAGCAGCCACTGTCCACAGGGAGTTTTTAAACCAGCTCCTCTTGCAGACCGGCTCCCATCTGCCTCCCTACGCTCTGCCTCTGATAGAGGCAGCAGCACAGGGTAACAGGGGACTATCTAGGAGTGAGGCCAGGAGTGCACTTGCTGCAGGACCCACACTCAGGGACTAGCGAATAATCATGTAACCAATAAGATTTGGTGCAGTTACACAATTATTTAAACAGTATCTAACATCCCTAATTCCAATTTGATTTTATCCCTTTTAGTTTCAGGTGGACTTGTACAGTCATGTGGTTACATCATCCCAGAGTCTCCAGTGTTGACGCGTGGCTCCAGTTTTACAGCATTATGCATTCTCAATGAGAGTTGCCTTGACTTGGGCAATATACATGCCAATCAGATTATTTGGAGAATCAAAAGTTCTGTAGTGCCTAAAGAACAATACCATGTAATAAACAGAACTGTTTCCAGTGTCACATTTAATGACACGTCTATTTTAGCTACTCCTCTGACATGCAACATTTTAGCAGATGGACAGATTGAGCAGAATATCTATGGAATAGCAGTTACAGTGGGCTGTAAGTAGTTTTTTATTCCTCTTGCTTTTCTTTGGATGTTATACATTTCTTATTAAATGTTTATGTACATAGCGATATTGTATAATGTTGGCAATTTTCCATTTTCTTCTCTACCTGACAGAAATGTTTTCCAAGGATATTTTGGCATATCCTCTTAACAAGGAAAGCTAGCATATATTTGAATGGTCATGTAACTGAAGCAGTTACAAGACTATTTGATAGTCCCTGGCAGCAGGGCTGGCAGCCAGTGCGCTCCCAGCCCCACTCTGGGGGAGCTCCCTCTTGCCCTGTATCAGAGGCAACAAAGTGGGGTGGCAGGCATGAGCTGGTCTGCAAGGGGAGCCAGTTTATAAAACAGCTCCCCTTGAAGACCAGCTCCGCCTGCTGCCACACTGTTCCCTCTGATACAGAGGCAGCAGCAGCCCCTGTCCACAAGGTGCTTGAGGCAGACAGAGACTGCTTTGAGGCAGCCTCCCCTGTCCACTCTCCACCTCCTGCACTGCAGCAGCACAGGAGGGGGTAGGTGGCACCTCGCAGCCGGTGCTGGGGGGGAACTGGCTTTTAAGCTGCTTTGCCCACTACCGGCTCCTGCCTGCCTTCCCCTGCTGCCTCTTGAAAGCCAGCTCCCTGTGCATATCAGCTCCCTCCTGCCCCCCTCACTCTCTGCACTGCTGCCTCTGCCAGAGGCAGCAGCATAGGAGTGGAGGGAGGCAGGTGGATCCAGTGCTTGTGGGAAGCTGAGTTTTAAGCAATAGTAAATAAATTTTCTCATTTTCACTAAACTACTTGTATACTTGTTGCTTTTATTGAGATCAGATGTATGTACAGTAGACTTCCAATAATCTGGAATCTTTGGGACCTAAATGGTGCCAGATTATCGGATGTGCCGGATTATCAGGAGGCACTATAAGGTGGTTATATATGTATATACTTTATATAAAGTGTTTTAACCCTTTTTATTGTATATACTGTATACAGTATACTGTAATGTTTTAGTTTTTTTAATCCTTTTTTTACCCTTTTCGCTCGGTTCAGCTGCTGCCGCTGCTGCCTTGTAACTTGTTTTTTGCCGAAGCTCACTTGCTAGGCTTTTGCCATTTTGATGCTGAGCTATTGGGAGTACCATACAATTGGATGTCAGACTATTGGAGTTTTACTGTATACACATAAATTATAAATAGTAACTTTTTTCATGCAGTGCCCCCAGAGAAGCCTGAAAATTTGAGTTGCATAGTAAATCAGATGTCAAAAAGTAAGTTCATTATGACTTGTACCTGGAATCCTGGAAGGGATACATTCCTAGCCACTGACTTCCGTTTAAAATCTCAATGGTAAGTATCTTGTTTAAGTTTATCAAAGGCAGGTATATCACATCTTACTCACTTTTTAAGATTTTTGCATGTAGGTTAAATAATGTTTTCCAATATTTTAAGGTTGTTAAAATTAAGTAGCTATAGATATAGACTATACACTAGACTTCTCAGGTTGCTATAGCCTGTGTGTCAGGGTAAAATACTTGACAACTCAAGTTTGTCCCACAGTTTAAGATTTTAAACTTAAGCAAATGATTTTTCCCAAGACAGAGAAAATGCAGGGAAGAGAGTCCTATACAGCTCTCATTGGTATTAAGCTATTGTGCAGTTTGAATCAGATTCTGTACCAGTTATGGGTATTACAGAGATGCTTGCCACAGAAACTGTTGCTGAACAGGTAAATAAATCTGAATAGTGATAGTCCAGTGGGTTATGTTCTTTACCGTTAAAGAAAGCTTTTTTGGTTGGTGGCTTTTTTAAAACCTTGATTCTGGTTATTGTGGGAAAACTATGAACTGTTCAGCTTGCTTCTATTCTCCCAGGGGGAGGTAGAGCAGGGGATGCTGGCTCAGGGAGGAGGCTCCAGGCTGGGGAGTGATGGGGTCAGGTGGGGGGTTGGGGTGCTGAGCAAGACACAGGCTTGTGGATGTGAGGGTGCAGGAGTTTGGATTGGTGTGTGTGAGGGGCTCAGGACAGGGAGGTTGGGAGAATGATGGGCTCAGGACACAGATTTGCAGTGCGTGAATGGTGTAAGAGTGTTGTGGCAGAAGACTGAGGATGTGGGGGTACAGGAGTTTGGGGATGTGAGAGGCTCAGAACAGGGGGTTCTAGTGTATGATAGGCTCAAATTTGGGATTGGGGTGAGGGGTGCAGGAGTGTTATGATGCTGTGGCCAGATGAGGGCATGGCCCCAATTGTGGGCTTGTTGGCCAGGCTTCATTTTTAAATAAAACATCATGTCGAACACCAAAGGTTTCAGCATTGTCTTTCTTTATGAGAGGGATGGGGAACATGTTTTGAGTCGGGGTCACTGACCCACAGAAAAGTCAGTTGGGTCCACACAAGTGAGATTCAAAAACACAACCCTTCCAAAACCCCTCAAGCCTCACTATTGTGGTCCCAGCTGTGCTGGTGGGGGCAGGGGACAGGGTGCTGGGGTAGGGTATAGGGTGCTGCAGCAGTGTAATGATGGGTGCCAGCGCAGGGGACAGGGTTCTGGTGGGTGCAGGGGTAGGGGACAGGGTGCCGGTGGGTGCCAGAGCAGGTGCCAGGGTGCCAACGGGTGCCAGGACAGGGGACAGGATGCCGGTGGGTGCTGGGGCAGGGGACAGGGTACTTGTGGGGGGAGGGGACAGGGACCAGTACCTGGGGAACCTGCAGCTGTGCGCCAAGGCCCAGAAAGTGGGGCAGCATGCACCTTGCTCCTCCGCGCCCCACAGCATTTGGAGCTGGCGCAGTCCTGAACTCCCACTCCCTCCCCGATCCCTTCCCCTGCACGCAGGAAGGAGGCAGGGGAAGAAAGTCCCCAGCACAAAACTGACCGGCTTTTTAGATACCATGCTGGCTGTTTGGGGAGGGGAGAAGAGCAGCCCATTCACTTCCGGGACCTGGCGCACAGCTACAGAACTCCCTCTCCCTCTGCCCTTCCTCCCCTCGCCTCGACCCTGCAGGAAGCCCGCGCTACCTCCATTGTCGCTGTAGGTAGCGTCAATGCAGTGTTCTTCTTGGGGGTGGATGGTAGCAAGGGGTGGGCCCTGAAAGAACTGATCAGGCCCCTGGGATCAACCAGTCAATCACGATCGACAGGTTGGTGACCATAGACATAGATCATTCTTGTCTGCTGCTAATATTGTCTTCATATCATGTCCAAGTCTGAAGCCTGATTGTGAACAAAAATGGTGACACATTGTTGATATTAATTCTGCTAACTACAGCAGGAGAAACAAGTCTATAAGTCACAAGCGATAGCTCAGTGGTTTGACCATTGGCCTGCTAAACCCTGGGTTGTGAGTTCAATCCTTGCGGAGGCCATTTAGGGATTTGGGGTAAAAAATTCATCAGGGATGGTACTTGGTCCTGCTGTGAAGGCAGGGGACTGGACTCCATGACCTTGCAAGGTTCCTTCCAGCTCTAGGAGATAGGCAATCTCCATTATAAAATAAAGATTACTTTAATCATATGTCTGAATGGCTAGCATACTTGATTACATTTATTCTAGTATAGTATCTTTAAGTGGAGTTCCTTTCAGCTAATACCTATCATTTCACTGGAAGAACAACTCTCTGTAGCTCAAAAGTTGGCTTTTACCATCAGATTGGTCCAATGCAAGATATTGCCTTACCCACCTTGTCAAATTACAAAAAAGTTATGATTTTTGTTTCATAACTAAGATTGGTTAGGCTTCTTGTTAAGTCATAAGACTTGGATTTGGATTCTGGTCCTGGCTTTGCTGCAGATTTATTTTATGACTAGATTTGTCCCCTTTTAAAGCACTTTGAGATCTTTGGATAGAAAATACTGTGTATAAATGCGAACTACAGATTTATTTTAACCTTTTTTTTTTTTTTTTTTTTTTTTTTTAAACCTCTCCATTTAGGCCACAAGAAACCTTGCCTGACTGCATGCCACAAGGTGTAAATAACTCTTGTAACACTTCCAATGTTCAATTTTTTGTCAACCTGGAAGTCTGGGTGGAAGCTAAGAATGCTCTTGGGAAGGCTGAATCTGAGCCTATTGATTTTGATCCTGTGGACATTGGTAATTATATGCTTCATTTAAGATCCTCAAATACTGAAGAATTGCAGTAGAACTCTTCACTTCTCTGAATGTTGGTGAACTAGAGTGTGGATACTGTTTTTATATTGTAAAATATGTGAAGCAATTGGCAGCAGTAGAAATCCATACTCAGAAAAGTGGTATACTATGGATGTAAGCAACTAGTCGACTACCCGATAAGCAAATGCTTTTCGGGTAGTTGAATAGGAACTCAACTACTCGCTTCTCCCCACCCCTCTTGCTTCCTCTATCAGAGAGAGGCAGCAAAGAGGGGAGCATGAGCCAGTGCTGAGGGGAGCTGGCTTAAAAGCTGGCTTCTCCAGCACCATTTTCATGGCAGGGGGCAGCAGGGAAACTGCGCAAGCAGGGATTGAAACAGTCCCGCTTGCACTGGTTCCACTGCTCCTCCTCTCCCTTTTGGCTAGATTCTCGCTGGAATGAATTAAGGGAGACTGTGCTAGGCTTGGGAGGACGCTTAATTGTATAAGAACCTGAAAGAATAGAAAGGGCTTGCTGTAGGACAATGAACTAGTAGTCTTGGTTTCCTTGTATGACTGTGGGTTTGACCAAGGAAGCATTTCTTTTCATGATCTGCATCTTGAACATTTGAGCTGGTCTTGCATGGCAGCTAAGTGTGCTGTTGCGGAACACTACTTTTTCAAACTTTCATAAGGCAAATGTTTTGCAGGCTGGGAAGGACAAAAATGGCCAGTGCTTGATGGGGAGACAGTTGGGAGATGTCCAGGTGGATATCTCTACGCTGGATTTTAACACTGAGAGGGAGGAAAACGAAGTAAGAAAGGATATAGCTGGGGGTAGGCGAATGTACATGAGGAAGGGTAGGGTGGATACTAGTCTGATACGTCATATTGGAGGAACAATGTCCATGCCAAATTGGGTAAAAAATGTGAGTGAGGCCAAACAGCAAAAATTAAGATGTTTGTACACCAATGTGAGGAGCCTAGGTAACAAAAAGGGGGAACTAGAGTTATTGGTCCAGGAAGTGAAACCAGATATTATAGGAATAACAGAAACATGGTGGAATACTAGGCATGACTGGAGTACAGGTATTGAAGGGTATGTGCTGTTTAGGAAAGACAGAAATAAGGGTAAAGGTGGTGGAGTCGCATTGTATATCAAAGATGAGGTAGATTGTAAAGAAATAAAAAGTGATGGAATGGAGAAGACAGAGTCTGTTTGGGCAAAAATCACATTGGGGAAGAAAACTATCAGATCCTCCCCTGGGATAGTGCTTGGGGTGTGTTATAGACCACCAGGATCCAATTTGGATATGGATAGAGACCTCTTTAATGTTTTTAATGAAGCAAATACTCATGGAAACTGCGTAATCATGGGAGATTTCAACTTTCCAGATATAGACTGGAGAACAAGTGCTAGTAATAATAATAGGGCTCAGATTTTCCTAGATGCGATAGCTGATAAATTCCTTCATCAAGTAGTTGCTGAACCAACAAGGGGGGATGCTATTTTAGATTTGGTTTTGGTGAGTAGCGAGGACCTCATAGATGAAATGGTTGTAGGGGACAACCTTGGCTCGAGTGATCATGAGCTAATTCAGTTCAAATTAAATGGAGGGATAAACAAAAATAAATCTGAGACTAGGGTTTTTGATTTCAAACGGGCTAACTTTAATAAATTGAGGAAATTAGTTAGGGAAGTTGATTGGACTAAAGAAATTATGGATCTTGAGGTGGAGGAGGCCTGGGATTATTTTAAGTTAAAGTTGCAGAAGCTGTCAGAAGCCTGTATCCCAAGAAAAGGGAAAAAATGTATAGG